TTAGTGTAGGTGGGCCTAGTGTGCCTAGTTTAGGCTCCCCTGCAGTGCCAAGCGTAAAATCCCCTGCTTTGTTTAGCCATGGCTCCACCCTCGCTCCTTCGACCCCTGCCGCCAATGCCCCGCTCTCCTTCACCCTGGACTCCGGCGCCTCCCGGTGTTTCTTTCGGGACTCCACTACGCTTACGCCGCTTGCCGCTCCCGCCGCAGTTGCCCTTGCAGACCCTTCCTCAGGTCCTGTAGTCGCCCATAGCTCCACCACCATTCCCTGTCCGGTGGTTCCTTCGGGCTCCCTTACAGGCCTGCACATCCCCTCGTTCTCTAGGAACCTAGTTGGTGTCAGCTGCCTCTAGGACCTTGGCGTCACCACTACGTTCCCCGGTCACAAGGGGGGTTCGCTGTCTGTATCGAGGTCGCCACTGGTGCTCCCCTCACCACGTTCCCCCGGGACCCTGTGTCTGACCTGTTTACGCTGGACAGCGCGTTACCCCCAGTTGGCACGTCTCCCCAGGTGGCTGCGTCTACCCAGGTTGCTGCAGCTTGCTCGTGTTGATCGCTTACTCACCCGACGCTTCTGTGGCACCACCGTCTAGGTCACCCTACCCTCCCATGTCTTCGTTACATGTCTCGACACGGAATTGTCTTAGGTCTACCTGAGTCGTTCCCCGAGCTATCCTCCTCACCAGCGCCGCCGTGCACGCCCTGCGTCGAGGGCCGGCTCCCCCATGCCCCTCACTCCTCCTCGTTCCCCCCCAGCGCCGCACCACTGCAGACCCTGCACATGGACGTCTGGGGCCCCGCCCCCGTCCATGGGCCGGGTCGAGAGCGCTACTTCCTAGTGCTTGTCGACGACTACACGCGCTACACCACGGGTGTTTCCCCTGGAGCGGAAGGCCGACGTGCCTGACGTTTTTAGCCCGTAACTTGTCTCTGCGCGTGTTCACCGAGGTCTTCCTGTATTGCATCTTCACGCCGACCGTGGTGGCGAGTTTGCCTCTGGCTGCCTTGGTCGCTTTTGTCATGCGGAGGGCATCACTCAGACGTTCACCCTGCTGGACTCCCCGCAGCAGAATGGGGTCACTGAGTGACGCATCGGTTCGGTCATGGAAGTGGCTCGTACCTCCATGATCCATGCCGGTGCACCCCATTTTCTGTGGCCGTTCGCCGTTCACTACGCCGCTCACCAGCTTAACATGTGGCCGCACCCTCAGCGGCCGCAAGTTTCGTCGACCCTCCTCTGGACCGGGTCTCCTGGTGTCGCGTCTGCGTTCCACATCCGGGGCTGCCTTGCTCACGTTCGTACCTCTGGCACGGGCAAGCTCACTGCCCGCACTGTCCCCTGTGTCTTCCTAGGTTTCGCCCTCGACTCGTCTGATTGGCACTTTTACCACCCAACGTCTCATCGTCTCTTCCACTCTTGCGACGTCACTTTTGACGAGTCCGTCTCCTACCACCGCTTTCCCCACCGTGGTCCCCCGGTCACTCCCCCCCAGTTCCTGGTTTCCCCCCCCCTCCCCCGGTCGCCCCTGCTCCTTCCCCTCCCCGCCCTGCCCCGTCTGGTGTCTCTCACGTCACCCCCTAGTGTCGGTCGTCCCTGCCAAGGAGCCTGCTAACTCTCGTGGCTTGACGGAGTCCCCCCCCCCGCCCCTCCCCACCCTGGTCTCTTCTTCCCTGTCGCTGCCATTACTGTCCCCGTCGCAGCCGCCTCCGCCGCTGCTGTCGACGTCGTGGCCGCAGCCCTCGTCGTCACCGCTGCTTGGGTTCGTGCGTTCTGGCGGTGATGGGGAGCGTGCTGGAGTGGGTTCTCGTTCTGGGGGTGCTGGCGTGGAGCTTCTCGGAGGGAGCCGTGCTGTCGCTGAAGGTTCTCGTATTGGAGTCGGGCAGTACTCGCAGCAGTCACTGCCGGTGTCCGCTCTTCGCCTCCTCAGTCTTCCTTCCCCTGCTCGCCTACCGGTGCCTCCTCTATCGCCGCCGCCTCCTCCTCCGCCGGTCTACGGCCCTGTGTTTCCTCCCCCGGACTCCTCTCTGGCTCGTCTCCCTCCCCATTCTCCTCCTGTGTCTCCTCTCCTCTCTCCTGATCCGACTCCTCTATCTCACGTCTGGTCTCGTCGCCTGTCTCGTGCTCGTCCTACCTCCCCTATTCCGTGGTCTCACCCTATGTTGCCTCGCTCCCACACGTCTCATGCTTGTCCGCTCCTCCCGTCTCCTCCTCCATCGTTGCTTGCTGTGGCCCCGCCCCCGTTCTCTGACTTCCTCCGTGCTGTGCGTCCCCTTGTTCCTTGTGTTCTTGCCTCTCTTGTTACCGACCCGTCCGTTCCTGTCTCGAGTCTGTCGGCTCTTGTCGTTGCTGTCACTGACTTCGCCGCTACCCGCCGCCTTGACTACGCCACCGCTTTGGTCTCTGACCCTGCCTGCCCTCCGTCCGTCGGGGGTGTGGCTGCCCTTAGCAGTGACGTCTTAGAGGACAGGCAGTTCAAGTTGGCTTTCCTGTCTGAGGTCGCTCCCAATCTCTATTCCATGCTGCTAGTCCCTGAGGGTGACCCAGACGCCCTTGACATCCCGACCCCTTGCACCTACGCTGAGGCCACCACGGGACCCTTGGTCTCTCAATGAATAGCTGCCATGGATGACCGTTGATGACCGATGGCTCTTCAAAGTGAAGCGCCCTCCTGGAGAGCCGCCTGTCTTCCAGGCGCGACACGTTGCTCGAGGCTTCAGTCAGTGTGAGGGGGTGGACTTCTTTCAGACCTTCGCCCCGACCTCGAAGATGACTACTCTTCGGGCGCTGCTACACGTAGCAGCACAGTGTGACTACGAGCTGCACTCCCTCGACTTCTCTACAGCTTTCCTCCAGGGCAGTCTACACGAGCACGTCTACCTGCGCCGCCCTCGGGGCTTCTCCGGTACCTTTCCCCCTGGTACCGAGTGGCTCCTCCGGCGCCCCGTCTACGGCTTGCGACAGGCGCCCAGTGAGTGGCACGATACGTTGCGTGCTACACTTGCTGACCTGCAGTTCTTCCCATCGTCTGCAGACCCCTCGCTCTTCGTCTCTTCTGGCCAGACTCCGTTCTACATCCTTGTCTACGTAGACGACCTGGTCTTTGCTACTGCAGACGCGCTGGCCTCCGTGAAGGCCGAGCTGCTGAGGAGACACACCTGCACTGACCAAGGAGAGCTGCACCGCTACCTTTGCTTGCAAATCTCCAGGGACAGAGCAGCGCGCACCATCACTCTCTCACAGTCACACTTGGTGCGCCAGGTCCTTCAGAGGTTCGGCCTTCAGTTCTCTTCTGCACAGCCCACCCCTCTGCCAGTAGACCACAGACTCTCTGCTCCAGTCCCGGAGGAGGCTGTAGAGCCTAGTGGTCCCTACGCAGAACTGGTGGGTTGCCTCATGTACGTGATGACTTGCACTCGTCCAAATCTCGCATACCCTTTCAGCGTCATGGCTCGCTTTGTGGCCACCGGCAGACACTGACTATAGCACTGATCGGCAGCTAAGAGGGTTTTGCGTTATCTAGCAAGTACACCGGGCATGGGGCTAGTGCTAGGAGGACGTAGACCAGTGGTCCTTACCGGGCACACAGAGGCTTCTTGGGCAGACGACGTCGAGACTCGCAGGTCCTCCCAGGGCTACTGCTTTAACTTTGGTGCAGGTGCCATATCGTGGAGGTCCACTCGCTCCTCGTCTGTTGCCCAGTCTAGCTGTGAGGCTGAGATTTACGCCGGTGCCATGGCGGCACAGGAGCTCCGCTAGCTGACCTTCTTGCTCACTGACTTAGGTGAGCGGCCTAGCTCTGCCCAGGTTCTATAAGCTGACAACAGGGCCATGATCCTCCTGTGTCAGGAGCCTAGACTTGAGGGCAAAACGAAGCACATCCAGCTGCGGTACTCTCTCCTGCGTGGGTTACAGCAGCGTCGCTAGGCCCGCGTAGTACACTTGGCTTCCGGTGCCAACACAATTGATATCTTTACGAAGGCGCTTGCGCCTAAAGATCATCAGCGGCACTGTGTACAACTAGGTCTCGTTCCTGTAGCCTCTCATTTTCTAGGACCTTGATTGTGTAGAAACCTTTATGTATATTACCCTGATTAGCCTTGTGGCCTCTTCCCAGTGGCTGGACTAGTGTCGCCCTGGTCTTGCTCTTGCCTTGTTTGTACTCGTTTGACTGGTCTTTAGACCCCTGCCTCAGAGGCTGGACTATTAATGCCACCCTGAGCTGCTTGTCTCTCACCAGGCACTGCCCCTATCCAGTCTAGGGGGTGTGTCAAACATATCCTTGTATGTTGTTATAGACTTTACAGGGTTGTGCCTTAGAGAGTACAACCCACTAGGTTGTATTCCCTTGTATGCCTTGTTTCTATCCATTCGTTATCTGTGATATTGCTGTGCTCTGCATGCATTGGCCAGCTGGGTAAGGGACCACATGGGAAACCCGGGCAGATCCTGTGAATATGATTCATCACGCGCAACAAATTTCAGCCCATTCGTAAGGATTTCCCAGGGCGTGGTTGCCAGCACGTGTCGGTGGGTGGGGCTGCCTGGCATTTTTCCCCTGCGTGGTTGTTTTGACAGCTGTTGAATCTATGGGCTTTGTAGGTTTCTGTTTCAGGGTATTTTGGGCGCACCCTTTCAAGGCAGGGTACAGCAGTAAACACCCTTGCTACAGCAGGGTAAAAAAATCCTTCAAAACGTTCAGAGAAAGGGTCAGGAGAATTTTTCCCATACAAAAGCAGGGTAATTCCTAAAGACTCGGCCACTGCCAAGGGTAATCAGGTGTCGAGTGACCCGCTGGGTTACCCTTAAAAAGATCCTCGGAGTAGGGCCACAGGTGCAGAGCCTGGGGGGTTATGGGCGCACTTACCCGCTATTCAACAAGCCCTTTTAACCCAGTGGTTAGTGACTGGGTTTCTGACATCAGGTTGAAATACCCTTCTAACTTTGGCCCAGCTCATAAGTTCACCTAAAGAGTGTACACATCATGAACGACAAATATGAATTATTATCCAAAAGCAATTTATAATCACCACGCTTTTCAGCTAGCCGACTATACGACATTAATTGGTTGGGCCACACACCATTTACCAATGGTACATCCAGTCCATGCATCTAACTCACCATATACCCTACTTACAGCTATGAGAATGAGCTCCCATAAAAGCATGGCTATTTACAGTGCCAATAGCAAAGCTTCCACAGTAAACTCCAAGTTAATGCTTGCCACTTGAGTTCCCACTGCTGGCTCGCATTCCCTGGGCGCGAGCAAGCTCCATGTTGAAATCAATCTCTGCAGACGAAGACTCCAGCTCGCGATCGATCTTCTCAGCCATCCGGTTGGATTCCGCCCCTAGAAATTCGTCCTTCATGTCCAACAAGTCGGTCAATATCCGACTCATGGAGGGTCGAGTGGCAGTGGGCATGGCAGTGCAGCTGAGGGCCAGCTTGGCCATGCGCAACACCAAGTCGTTCGGTGCCTGCAGATGAGGATCCTTGAAGGATGGCACGTCACCAGCCGCCACCAGAGGGGCCACCTGAGGCCACGGGGAAAGGTATGGTAAGTGGAATAAAACTGGATCCAAGCAACAACTGCTTAGGTTGGGCTGTGGAATAGTGACTTCATCTAATGACGATGGAAAGATATGTTCAGTATGGTTCCAATGAGGTTGAAAGGCTCACCCAAGTTTTAAGGTTGTGTTGATCAGATTCCACCATATAGACGGCCTTGCGGGCTGTGATGACTGTCAGCATCACGACTCCAAAGCTGCAATTCAACAATGGCACGAAATATGATGTGCAAGGATAGGAACGACGTGTAAGGACAAGTATAGAGGGCAAGGATTCGAGTAGCTTGCATGGACATGAGTGGGAACGCATCTAATCAAACAAGGCTGCATTCATCCGATACGAATTGTAATACAACTGTTCATATTGTTGGTACTTTGTGGTGTATACTCTTGGATATCAAGCCAGGCTAAATCACAAAATAAACAAGCAACATGCACTCATGAACACATCACTCACTCATTAACATCACTCCTGCACACATCACCCGTACCTGCGCAAATCACCCTCACCTACGCAAGTCACCCATACCTGTGGGGTTCAGCCATACCAGTGCACATCAGCCATACCTACGCACATCACACATACATATGCGCATCAGCCATACCTACACACATCACCCATACCTGTGCATATCACCCTTACCTGGGGACATCAGCCATACCTGTGCACATCAGCCATGGGCGTTGCCTTTTGTGACTTGTAGTAAGCGGGGTCCACATAGCCCGGTGTGCCCATCACTCGAGTGGCAATCACTGATGTGCCCTCGCCCAGCCTCACCAGCCCAAAGTCTGCAATCCTTGCCTGCGGTTCAAATCAAATACATGTGCAAGCATTAGACAGTTGGCATCTCAAAATACAGCAGCATCATGACCCATCACCAACACATGGCATGGTGTCAATTCTGCTTGATTTAAGAGAGATTCATCTTCAAGTTAGTGCAAGAACTCAGGCACATGCCATCAGACCTGCTTTGATTCATACTATAAAAATGTTGCGTGGGCAATGCCTTCCACTCCGTGCGTACCTGCATCCGGTCGTCAAGAAGCACGTTGGCTGGCTTGATGTCGCGATGCACGATGCCAAAGCCATGCAGGTACTGCAGCCCCTGAGCCATGCCGATCATCACTTCTAGGCGCTGCCTAATGGTGAGCTGCTTGGGGGCATCTGGCACAAGTCAAAGTGAAAACAGGAACGGTTGGAATGTTCAGGTGACAAAACCTTGGTGATATGGTAGAAAGTAACTTATGGAAGCACCGTGGGTGAAGTGTGCTTGATAAGCACTCGTGTATGGGCAACAAGGTAGAGTAACTTACCCGGTCCAATCCACCTCTCAAGGTCGCCATTGGCCATGAACTCATAGATGACAATCTGCTCGATGCGGTCTGTTGTGTGGTTCACATCAAAGCAGTAGCCCAGCAGCCGCACCAGGTTGGGGTGGTTCTTGGTTGCCATTTCATTCACCTGCCATCCAGTCAAACAAGTGGAATGAAAAATCAAGCGCTGTTTAATGTGGATATAGGGTAGGAAATACAAACACAAACACGACTTAACTCTTTAGTCTCAAGCCTTTTCCACTGCAGCATCTCTCTCAGCACTGAGTTTGCCAATCGCATTCCCACCTCTCGCTTGAAGTCGTTAGTCAGGATTTTGGCTCGTTTGACAGCCCATATCTCAGAGGGGCATTCGGGGTTGGCTCCCTTGTACACATCCCCAAAGCTGCCGCTGCCAATGTGGTTCGCCTCTGCCCACTCGCCTGTGGCCGCAGCAACCTCCCCCAGCGAGTACTGCCGACACACCTGCGGCCGCGCCTCTCCTGCTGCTGCTACTAACTCTGGTTTCACCGCCGCCGCTGCTGCTGCTGCTGCTGCCACTGCGGCTGCCGCCACTGCTTCTGCTGCCCCTGCTCCTGGGTCTACGTCAAAATCATCAGGTGCTGCTCCTGCCTTTCCTCCTTCTACGTCGTCCTCATCCTTGCTTGCTTCGCTCTCCTTCGGTGCGTTTCTCTGCCTGATGCGGTAGACCCAGAGCGTCAGCACGAGCACGAGAATGAGTGCACACACGCAGCCCACGACAATACCGGCTATGGCACCTGAAGACAGTTTGCTGCTACTGCTGCTGCTTGACACTGTTGAGTGGTGGCAGGAGTGGTGGCATGAGTGATTGAAGGATAAGTAGGAATGGAAATGAAACATGCATAAGAGTATTTGCTGTCAATTGTGTAAGAGCCATCAGCATTTTCGACCGGGATGACTGCGAAGCCGGTGGAGTTGAACAATGGTGCAATTCGTATCAAGATTATAACCGTCAAAAGTAAAGCTGACACCAGGGATCCAGGTGATGGTGCCTATAGTGGAAGGAAATGGTGAAGGACCAGACGGAGTTGGAGAAGGGGCGGGAGGAGTGGGGGAAGGGGCGGGAGGAGAGGGGGAAGGGGCGGGAGGAGTGGGGGAAGGGGCGGGAGAAGTGGGGGAAGGGGCAGGAGGAGTGGGAAAATGGGCGGGAGGAGTGAGGGAAGGGGCGGGAGGAGTGGAAACATGGGCGGGAGGAGTGAGGGAAGGGGCGGGAGCAGCGGGGGAAGGGGCGGGAGGAGTGGGCGAAGGAGTGGGAAGAGTGGGGAACGGGGCGGGAGGAGTGGGGGAACGGGGCGGGAGGAGTGGGGGAACGGGCGGGAGGAGTGGGAGATTGGGGGAGGCCAGAAATAATTTTCTGGGCGATGAGGGAGAAGGCAAACCAGTAGCAGAAAGAAAGGAACGCACAAGTGTGGCATAACAGGACACCAAAAACAGGAGCGTGAGAACAGCAGTAGCACAGCAGAAGCAACCTACCAGCAGGGCTGGGTGGCGGCGGTGCAGCTGTGCCAGTGGTGGTGGAAGGCGCAGCAGGGCCACCGGGTGCAGGAGAAGCAGAGCCGAAAGACACGGTGCCATCGGAGTTGAGAGTGAGCAGCAGGCCCGTGTTCACCACCCGCCCGTTGCTGCCAACCACAGTGCCGTTGGCCCACCCGGTCAGGTCCCCTGCAGTGAACGAGCCGTCGGGGTTCGCAGTAGGAGTGATGCGTGTGCCTGTAGCGGCGTCCACAATGGTGCCGTTGGTGTACATGGTGGTGCCGCCCACAGTGAACCCATCAGTCGTGCCGGATGCAGGGTTGGTGTAGATGGAGATGCCAGGGGCAGTGAGGGTGCCGGTGCTGGGGAGATACGAGTACTTGCCATCTTCAATCGTGAAAGAGCCGTCAGCGTTTTGAGGGGGAGTGACTACTGCGCCAAGAGAGTCCACAACGGTGTTGTTCTGATAGAGGGTGTAGCCATCGAAAGTAAGGCTACCATCAGAGTTCCTTGTGACGGTGCCAGTGGTATCAGCAGGTGTGGGAGAAGGGGAGGAAGGGGGAGCGGGAGCAGGGACGGAACCAGGAGCGGGAGTGGGAGGAACAGTGGAGGGAGTGGCGGTGACAGTCCCATCTGAGTTGACCGTGAGAGCCAGGCCAGTGCTGACCACCACACCGCTGCTGCCAATAACAGTGCCATTCGGCCACCCAGTGAGATCGCCTGCAGTGAACGACTCATCCGCGTTCTGAGTAGCAGCAACTGGCTGCCCGGTTGCGGCGTCAACAATGGTGCCGTTGGGAAACATGGTGGTGGCCCCAACCGTCACGCTGCCAGGTCCAGCCGCAGCACTGCCATCACCAAACGTCTGCAGCACCACCCCCTGCCCTGCCAGAGTGCCATTCGTAGGGAAGTAGCTGTAGCCTGAGAGCTCGTACGACTCGTCCTGGTTCAGCGGAGGCGTCAAGGGCCCACCGCTAGAGTCTACTATGGTTCCGTTGTTGTAGATTGTGGTGATGCCGTCTATGGTGACACTGCCATCCGGGTTGGTGGTGAGGGAAGAACCAGGGCCGGGGGGAGAGCTGGAGCCAGGTGCGGAAGGAGAAGAGACAGAGATGGTGCCGTCTGGGTTGAGAGCAAACTGCTTGCCGGTATTCACCACCGCGCCGTTGGTCCCCACAATCGTGCCATTCGCAAACCCAGTCAAGTCGCCAGCAGTGAACGACCCGTCTGCATTGGCTGTTGGCACGATCGGCGTTCCAGCAGCATCCAGCAGAGTGCCATTGGCCAGCAGCTTCGTGCTGCCAACCGTGTAGCTGGGTGCGTCTCCGGTGGATATGGCGAGGCCGGGAGCAGCGAGCGTGCCGTTGGGGTAGACGGTGTAATCACCGCCGACGGTGAACGATCCGTCAGGGTTGGCAGTGGGAGTGACGGAAGCGCCAGTAGAGTCAAGCACAGTGCCATCCGCCATGAGGGTGTAGCCCGGGCCGAACGCCACGCTGCCATCGGGGTTGACGCTCACGCTGCTGCCGCTGGGGCTGGGGGCGGTTGGGGAGGCAACGAGGGTGCCATCGGGGTTGACGTTGAATGTGCGCCCGGTGTTCACCAACTCACCGCCTTTGCCCACAACCGTGCCGTTTGGGTAAACCACCAGGTCTCCCGCCGTCACCGAACCGTCCGCATTCGCTGTCGGCTTAATCGGCTTCCCCGACGCGTCCATGATCGTGCCGTTCGCCAAGAGTGTCGTTTTCCCGACAGTAAACCTAGTGCCGCCACTGGAAATGGCGACGCCGGGAGCACTGATCGTGCCGTTGGGGTAAGCGGTGAAGTTGCCACCGACGGTAAACGATCCGTCCGGATTGGCGGTGGGAGCGACGGGCGCGCCAGTGGAATCCACGACCGTGGCGTTCGGCAGCAGAGTGTATCCCGGTCCGAACGACACACTCCCGTCGGGGTTGACGCTAGCGCTCCCGCTGCTGCCTGTGCCTCCGCTGCTGCCGGTGCCTCCGCGGGCCGTGGCCGCGTCCCTAGCGATCCCGCCCTCGCCATACAGCCTCGTGCCCGCCAGTTTCACGAAGATTTTCGTGCCGTCAATGACTACAGGCACTCCGGACGCGGCGATGGCGCCGTTCAAAAACCACGTGTGCTTGCCCTCGGCCGGCGTGACCTTGGCGCCGGTTTCGTGCACGATGTTGCCGTTGATGGTGTAGTTGTCGACCGTCAGGCTGCCGCCAACACTGCTGACGACGATAGTGCCGGCTTGCGCGGCGACCGTTGTCGTCACAGCGGTCGCCGAGATGGTGACGGCGAGCAGCAGCAAGGCGAGGGAGAGACGCTGGTCCGCCATTGAGGCAGGCAGCAAGAACGCTCGTCGGATGCACGGCTGGGAATGACGTTGCAGCGTCTGTGGAATGCGCTGATTGGCGCACTTCTAGTTCAGTAGTTCCCTACCAACTTGCTCGCTCAATGCTCAACTTTCCTTGGCTCAAATTGAGCTCGAGCAAGCTTGATGTAGGGAGACGAAGGGACGAGAGTGGAGGGAGGGGTGAAGTGAAGGCGAAATGCAGCGCAAGCGGTCGAGTCATGCAGAATCTTGTTCTCGCGCTGGTAGCGCTGTCCATCATCCCAAAATTGAGAGCCCCGGAATTGGCTTTCGAGGGAGGGGGACGCGTGGGTATCACACAGCTTGTGCCCTGCAAGTTACCCCCAGGAAACCCCTAAGTCACATGAGGGGTGTGGCGAAGTCGGCGACATCGCGATTACGGTCGAAGAACATCGCCAGAAAAAAAGGGGACCAATCAGAGGAGGTTCGGGGGCTGGGTCACCCACATGAAACCGAGCAGCTTCGGCTCGAACATTTGTCCCTGGTTCGGCCCGGACATCAGCCTCCGAAGGGGCGCCAGAGGCCCGACAATGACTACAACGTTGGCGCCCCTGTTAACGGCATAGGGGCGCATTGTATGTTCTGACTAGTTGCACCTCTCTAACTATGTTTCAATTGTCAGAAAGTACCAGGGTGGACTATAAACTGGATGCAAATTGACCATTCCACTGTTAAAGATAATTCACTTAAACGTCACTACCAAAACAACCTCTCCAGGAGGCAACATCAAAGCACATCCAGCAGTTACACCCCGCCGTGCCGCAACCCATCTGTCCACTTGTTCAAGAACCAAGTCCTTGGCCTATCAAATGACTCCACCACGTGAACAACACGTCTGAGGCTGCTCGCGGGGACAACGACGCATGCATCTGGCCTTCGCACCTCCTGCAGCCTCATGCACCCTGTCAAGGCATCAACACGGTCGCACTTCCATGGCTTAATGTATGCGACCTCGTGCGCACCACCCCCTTGGGCCACGCCCTCCTTGCGTGCACTCAGCAGCAGCAGTAACTTCCCATACGCCGCCTCACTGTCAGCCGGGCCGTACTCAATAAAAGAGAAGGCTGGGGCGACGTGGTGATGGGGTGCAGCACGTGCATACTTGGCCGCTGCCTCTCCAGTCCGCACGTCTCTAGAAGGCAGGGCAACAGCCCTGTGCACCTGCGCACACAGCCTTCCCCACACTCAGCACAGCAACAGCTACCTAGGGCACACCTACAGTCAGCCATGCGAGGTGAAACAGAGGCAAATGAGTTTAGGACGGGAGCAGACCTGTGCCTGAGTGCTGGAGAAGCCATGCCTCTGCATGACCCGGCGATACCCAGCTAGCATTCCACCCGTTGCTGAATTGTACTCCATGAACAGCGAATAACCGCGGGCTGTGACGTCACATCCATCCGAGATGGCCGCCGAACTGCTGCTCAGAGCAGGCTTGCCTGAGGTGCGTGCCTGCCCAATGATGGAACAAATGTAGTTGGGATCCGGGATACTACACGCTGCCAAAAGCTTCTAGCAAACGGTCGCGCGCCGTAGAGCGAGTTGTTCCCCCCAATTGCTGTGCGGGCCTCGTGTAGGACCAGGCGGGGGGCGACCCCTCCACCCTAAGCTGTTGACATGGGAGGATGATGAGGGCGGGTGTGGGATTGACATACATGGAAGGAGGGGCACCTGTGACTAGGTGGGACATATTACGGCGCACTCTGTCGGGAATCCACCTCGCATGGAGCAGCAATGGGAGGCAAGGCCTGAGAGAAGGGTGGGGGGGATGAGTAGGGCGTAAGAGTAGGCGGAAGGGTGGGGTGGCAATCGAGGTCTACCGCCACGTCTAGTGGGGAACTTCACAAAACAATCAACGTCAGACGAGAAACATATGCGAGAGTCAAGGATCCGCCCCCAAAATCCTGTGGGCCAGGTTAAGACGTGGTTAGAGGGGGTTTCAAGAACGACGAAACAAACAACATGGGATGGCGGGGATCACCCCTGACGTACACCGACACCCCAGAGACATTGACACAGCCCGGAGTAGGTGTGCCGAATGCAACCTGGTAGGATGGAAACGACTAACAACGAGATACAAGAGGGATAACAGCGGTAACGAGGACAATTGGCCAGAGCCGACCCACAGCCATAAAGCACCACTGAACGCTCACCCGCTTAGCCGCAGTGTTGTACTCGCGCGTTTCCCCTTCCAGCGCATGTGGAAGACACTGCATGGCATGCCGTGTAGAGCTGCCCCCCAAAATGGCCGCTTCATAATCACGCTTGTTTGATGCCCGGAACGGCTCCTTGCACAAACGGACATGGGCATTTTCGAACGTGGCGGTTGAATACTCGCGCGGATGACCACCACGCCGGATGGCTTCGGGCATATGGTTGAGGCCGTGGATCTTAATGAGATTCCACCCGTGCCCATCCCGTGGATACTGAGTCATCAAGAGCCGCACCAGTCTGCAATCATGATCGAGGGGGTGTGGTAGTGGGGGACAAGGGGGAGGACGGGTGCAAGTGAGAGAAGAGCTTTGGAAAGACCTGAGAAGCAAAGTCTGGGGTGACGATGAGGACCACGATCGAAGGAAGTTCCGTTGCCATTCCTCAGGGCTGTGGGCAACACGTTGGCGAAGACAAACCTAGACACCTGGCGTGGGTAAAGGGATGGCCATGCAAGACACGTCCTGCCAGGGACTGGAGCAGAGAGTCAAGGGCATGGGGATAAGACGTTGCGCGAGAAAACAACGATTTAAGCGCTTGGAGAAGCAACCGCATAACATGCAGTAGCTAGACACCCAACGGACACAGCTCTAGGATGCACGTGTTCAACGGTCGGCCATCGCACAAACTTACTCGCGCGTGTCAATCTCCATCTGTCGGATCGTCTCCTCGGTGTAGAACTCGCAGCGGATGTGGTTCTGATGCCAATCAGCCAAGAAAACCAACGCCTCCAGCCCCGCCGGTGTAACCTTGCCCTCCAAAACAAAAGGTAGGATCTGGAACCACGTGCAACGCAGGGTAATTCACCGAAGGGACCACATGTAAGTAGCATAATGGAAAGGGCAGGCCTGAAAAAACCCCAAACGCCACAAAAAAATAACTAGAAAAAAAAGGTGAGCCGAAGGCACTGACCATCAACCCGCACTCACCGTGAGCATGGCGGCATGCTCCGCTGCGGAGTAGTAGGAGCTCTTGGAAAAGTACATCCCGGAAGGCAGTGGTACACCTGCGAGTGTCGCCTCATCAAATATGGCGTGCACCCGGCTGAAGTTGCGTCAGGGGGGTGGGTGGGAGGGAGTGAGGGACAGGAGGTTAGTGCATAAAGGGTGTGTCCAACGGTGTCTAATCTTATGATGGGTTTATAGATAACAGATTGAGGATGACAATACACGCTACTCACTCATCAAGAGCCAGGGCGTTGGCGTCATCCCCCCGCAGCACGTGCACGAGGCGAGCCAAAATGCCACCATACAACACGTGCAGCAGATCCGGCATCTGTGCCTGGTACGTGTTGGCCCACCCCTTCTTGGCATGGTGGAACTTCCACAAGAAGGTCTGCAGTGTGTAGAGTGAACATGTGGGGAAAGGAGGGTACGGAGAGCATAAGAGACACGGTTAGGGTAGTCGGGGCCATGCCCCGTGCCCCTGCTTTGCAGCATTTGGAAATCGCGCAGCGGTTGGGGGATTCATGGGGGAGATAATGGACCCACCGACAGTCCATGCTGTGGCTGTGAGAATGGGGTGCTAGATGTGCAGATCAAAAGATAGAGCCAGCAGGGGGCATGAGCCACCATTGGGCATGGTGAAAGGCACGCTAAAGCCTTGTGCACATAGCACCATTGTAAGAGAAACGCGGCGGGGGCGGGGTCGCACTGGTGAGCGGGGGAAGAGAAGGAAATATGCGGCAGTTTGTTTGGAAGGGGCTGGGGCAGGGAAAGGGAACACTTGCTGCCAAGAAGCACCAAGGACTGGACTGGTGAGGGGAGGACGGGGGAGGATGGAAGTGATGAGGACCAAGCTGTCCCGCAGGGGACCAGATTCGGAGCATGCGGGTGTGTACAACAGGGCCGGGCATGGAGAGAGCATCCTGGACTGCACCCCAGCAAGTGTTGTTGAAACACGCGTGTGGATAGGAAAATGTGAAAACATCCACTTCCGATGATGGCAAAGGGAAGATGCCTGGAAGAGGCAGAGAGGTGCAAGCCCGAGGGGACGGTAAACATAGAGGACAAAGGCCATGGCCACGAAGGTGAGGCATGGCAGTGCAGGCATCAGGGCGAGGCATGACGACTCGAAGTGAGGCCTGGAAACTTTGGCATTAGAGAGTGTGAGTCATTCCAACGCGGTCAGGGGAGTGAGGCACGGCGTCAGAGGCATGAGGGTGAGTGAGGCGAGGTGATTCGGGAATGAGAGTGAGTGAGGCGAGGTGATTCAGGAAAGAGAGTGAGTGAGACGAGGAGATTTGGGAATGAGAGTGAGCCGCCGAGAAGGACGAGTGCTTGAACCGAGTTATGATTCGTACATCGAAAACCACCCCCTGCCCCCTTAGCCCTCTCACCCTCCTCACCACCCCTCCCCCCCACCTACCCACGCTTCCAGCCGACACCCCCCCCACCCCCCCAACATTTGCCTCTATGGGATGCGTGGAGTACTTGTGAGCCTTATTAGGATCGTTCAAGAGCAGTTGCTGCCTGGCCACCGTCCGACGCTCGTTGAGACCACCTTGGATGACCCACAGGAAGTCCTTCTCCACATAGCATACCGAGCATGGCATGTCGCTGCCCAGCTGCAGCGTGCAGCTGACCTTGCAGATTTCAGGGTAGTCTCCAACATAGGCGAACAACATAGGGTACGCCGTGTGCACTACCCCGTGCGGATCTGTGAGCGGAAAGCCCCTGGAAGGCGGGTAAGAGAGTGAGGGAAAGAGATGAATGCAACTGGCAAACACATGGAAGGATCCCCCTACAGCTGCACGTCGCACTGCACACGCCAGGCAGGCCCCAGCCCTAAGTCCCACAGCAGCGAGATGCCGGTGGGCAGCAATGGCTGACTCACCACTCAGAAGCACCAAAAAGATCGTGCAGAACGACTTGCATTGCCCGTTGGAAGAGCTGA